CCCTACACGTAACCGACTCCCGAACTCGGATTTTGGTAACACATACCTTAATTTGTTGTTTTAATTAAAATTAATTTTTATTTAAAATAACAAACATCTTTGGGTGCCCAATCACACCCTAATCAAATATTGGTGGCGACTCTTTGAACAATATGTTTTTAACGAAAAGAAAATTTCAAATTTTTCGAAACGAGAGGTTTTTAAATCGCATTTGTTTTTTAAATTAAAAATCAATTGAAAAAAGTAAATTAAAAAATAAGGTGGTTTTTCAAAATCTCACCTTTTCACCTTTTAGAAAAAAATCGTTTCGACATATATTATTTTATGTGTTAGAAAAATATGATAATATTTCTTTAATAAAATATTTTCTACTAGTTTTTCCAATAAAAATGTTTAATATTCAAAATATTGTGTCTTTATTAAGCTTAAAACCAATTATTAGTTTTTTTTGGCTCTCCCAGTTCAAGATCAGAACATATCAAAGACTCAATTGAGATTTACATAAGAATTTACAGATTGATCACCAAGAGTAATGGTGATAAGATTTGAACTTGACCTTACAAGCTCAAATTCCTTAATCTCAATCACTTGTACCAACACTCGTTGGTCAAAACTAATTATTAGCTGATATAATCGTTAAGTTTTTATGAATAAGATTAAAAACTTAAATTTAGATAGTGTGAATGGTAAAAGTTAGATCAAAATAATTGTTTTCACAATGAATCTTTATCATATTTAATTCTAAGTTAACGAATCAAATGATGATTTAAATTTTATCAAATTATTATAAAATGATCGTGAAACTTATCAAATTGTTAGAAAATGATTATGAATAATAATCATTTTATGATGAATTTAATAATTATTTTATATTTTCCAAAATTTCAAACTATTTAGATTAATTAATGATATCAAAACAATAGAGGAATGAATTGTGTAAACTTAAAATTCATAGACTATATTATCATTGAGTATAGAAGAGGGATCAAAACAAAAATTTGACCAGATTTCCGGATTAACTCAGACGCGACCCGACCAGGTTTTATTTTAACAATCTATGCGACCGAATCGAGATATTGGAATCGTTCTCTGATCTCCTATTGGTAAAGTAAATAAGCAGCTGCAGTATCTAGAAAGGCTACAAGGAACCTGAATCGATTTACAAACAGAGCTGAGAAAGTAAGATCACTCATCTCCCCCTTCGTTTTTCCAATTTTTTCTTGCTTGAACTAGTCTATTGATCAACTCTGAAACAACCCAGCTCCTTTTTCTTTTATTTTTTATGCATTTAAATGATTAGGATTTGAGAAGTATTGGATATTTTAGATCTGGGTTTTTCGTTTTGTGCATGATCTGGTTGAAGAAGGATCTTTTTGATGAATTTTGTGCTGGGCTCTTGAAATTTTTATGTGGATTGAAATTCTGGGTTTTGATTATTTGATTGAAAAAAGTGGAAAAAGATAGGGAAGTTGGAGGAGATTTGTAGATATGGGGAAGCCATTAATTTATGAGATATTGGAGAAACCAGCTACTAGTTGTGTAATAGGAATTTGTAGTGCAATTTGGTTTTACATACAAAAGAAGAACATTGGTTATCAGCATGTCGGCTTAAGTTACGAAACCGCAGTCGAAGGCCACCATTGGAGGGTGATTACTTCAGCTTTCTCGCATATTAGTGTTATTCATCTTGTTTTCAATATGAGTGCCCTCTGGAGTCTTGGTGTTGTGGAACAATTAGGGCATTTGGGTCTTGGAGTTGCTTATTATCTTCAGTATTCTCTTGTTTTGGTCGTATTATCCGGTTTGCTCGTGTTGGGATCGTACCATGTCTTGATTCAATGCTTTAAGATCGAGTATTTCCGACGAGTGACTGCAGTTGGGTATTCTTGTGTCGTTTTTGGCTGGATGACGATTTTGTCGGTCAAGCAACCTTCATCTAAGTTGGATCTTTTTGGATTCGTCTCTCTTCCTATTAGTTTTGCACCTTTCGAATCGTTGATTTTCACTTCGATCATTGTGCCTCAAGCGAGTTTCCTTGGACATTTATCTGGAATCATTGTAGGGTATGCTATAGCTTGGGGTTTGATTCATGGGATGACTAATTATTGGGCGGTTTCCATGCTGGGATGGATTGCTCTGGTTTTCGTTTTCAGTTTGAAGCGTTCCGGTGCATATGATTTCAACTTTCTCGAGATCGAATCTGTTACAGATCCTTCATTGCTTTCTGTTCCTTTTATTGGAAATGGTAGAACGTTGCAGAGTACCGTTCCACTTGGAGGCATCGAACTCATCTAGTTCATTTCCAAAGATGTTGCCATTATATCTACAGCGTAGACCGGATTATCGAGTCATCCTTTAACAATGCTTAGTGATTCACTCCTGGGGGTTCAGCGGTTTAATTCCGGAGTTGGAACAACCGGGACATTCTTGGTCGTTAGATGTTGCTGATCAATTGCTTCCCTCGGCTGTGATCGGACAAGTTTTCAGGTCTGGTTTTAAACTCAGAAATATGTTTCATACATTTATTTTCTGCCGAGTGTGGTATCGCAATTCACTGATCATTGCTCACTTATGCATCGTTATTGCATTACTTGATGAATAAAAGAAATGTATCTCTAAATTGTGCATTTTTAAATTCAGTTTAATTCTAGAGTTTCGCCGGTGCGAGTCTCGAATACGAGAATGTGTCCGGCATGTGTATGACGTCTCGAATATGGGAATGTGTCCGATACGAGTACGTGTCTGACATGTGTATGATGTCTCGAATATGGGAATGTGTCCGATACGAGTACGTGTCTGACATGTGTATGATGTCTCGAATATGGGAATGTGTCCGAATAGAGAATGATGTCTGGAATTTGAACTTGTCACTATTCCTTGAACCTTGACGCTTACGATATTCGATTAAAGCGTCTCCTCCTTGAACTCTACTTTTCCATTAGACTTGGGTAACTGTTGGTGCATCTTGTCATATATTGTGCAATTCAATTTCTTTTGCGTTCAATTGGTTTTCAAACAATTATTTCTATTAAATTCTTAAATCAAAAAGTAATTTTTAACTAATATTGTTCGTTAAGTCCTGTTACATATTATAATTGTGTCACATGACATTTATATATATATATATATATATAATAAAAAATGTTAAAAATTATTCTCATTGTCCCACAGAAATGGTTTTTAAAAATTTTATTTCAAAATTTATTCCCATTGTCCCACTAGAATTCTTATTAACTCTAACTCTATCTTCTTATTCAATTTATCTTTAATACAATTTGGAAAAAAATATATATTTTTTCTATAAAATTTAATTATTTAAAATAATTATGTTTAAAATTATCTATATTCTTGGGTTTAGAAGTGCTTTCCAACCAGGAAACGAACATTATCACTTGGAACCCGTCAAGAACAGGTGTTATATATGTGTATATATACGGACGGTGAGTTAATCAGATCAACAACAATGCCGGATGTTCTTCCATTGACAAATTTTATTCATGTTGAAGCAATTTCCAGTACCCCGAGGATATCAATTCCGTCCCACCATACACGATATCTTCTTCGTGTTTCTTATACCAGTAGTCCACAAAGGAGATCCTCTGCCTTCTCCTTTTGTCTGCGTCGAAATCTACGGCGAAAACAAGGAGCCTTGGAATGTTTTCGATACAGAAACGAGACGGTCATTTTGGGTTTTCACTAAGTTGAGGAAGAAGAGTAAATCGAGAATCGATCGGACTGCGGGTTGTGGTTGTTGGCTTGCTCGGAGCACCAAGGAAGTTTTGGACAAGAAGGGTCGGGTTTTGGGGATTCATAAGTACTTCACTTTTACTACCAAGAATGATCGGACGACGAACCAGGGTAATGGGCACTGGGTTATGCATGAGTTTTCTTTAAAATGCAGGGATTCGTACGATTGGGTTATTTGCGAGATAAAGAATAGGGGTGCAAAAAAGAGTAACGACGGAGGGATGAGTTCGGATCCGGAGTTTTCAAATTCGGATGACTACTCCTATAGTCAGACCAGAGACATAGATGCTATGGATTTGGATCTAAACCTATACCCGAAGCTAAACAATGAAAAGAAGTCGCAGGTAAGTAACAACAGTTCGAAAGACGATGTCTGTCGGATACAAAACAACAATGATGTGGATTCAAATGATGAAGAGACGGGGCCCATTCCAGAGCTTTCTCTAAATCGTGAAGATTCAAACGACGACAATATTAGTTACAAGCAAAAAAATGAAGACGTTGCATGTTCGGATCCTAAACCAAAGAGTGTTTCTGCCTATCAGAACCCGACCGAAGAGGATTCCGATGAACCTAACCAACAAAATTCCAAGCAAATTGAAGATACCAACAGTCTCCATTTAGAACGACAAGAATCAAGTATTAGTAACGATTCTCCTTGGCAGATTCTAAGCAAGTTTATCGATGAAGCAGATGAAGTAGATCCTGAAATCATATTGAAAGGGCTCGACTTGACTTCTAAGGATCCAGATTAAATACCCGCGGTCCCGAACTTCGTAGAAACATTCAATTTAGTCATTTGTTGTTTAATTTTCAAATTCCACTATGTAATCTATTAGGCGTCCAACAAAGTTGGCAGACAGGATTATGTTCCCAGATCACAAGCAGGATCTAGATGTAAACTTTTTGTCTTGATTCTTTTCACAACATAGCAATTTCGAATGCAGTGCAAGAGAATAAAACTCACATGATCTAGTTTCTCAGATTATAGTCGTGTACAGTATATGTTCGGGCATTAGTATGGAGATACGACTCCAAAAAGAACGTGACAAGCTCAAATCTGAATAACACAGCACATGACAAGCTCATAACTATTTTATGGCCTCAACAACTCGGCCATTCAAGATAAGTGCTAAAAGCAATGAAACGGATATAAATCAAAGGATTTTCAGAAACAGTAAACTATACCGGATGATATTATATATGAAACTTAGGTCAATCTCTATAACAACCTAGAAATAGATGTTATATGGGAAAAGCCTAAACAGATGGCAAGGAAATACATGTCCCACCTAAAAACATAAAAGGCCCATAAATACCTGGTCTTATGAGCATATATAACTCATCAATCCTTTGATGCTGTCGAGCTGGCATCCGATGAAGCATCTTTGTAAGGGGATGCCATGGAACCTCTAACTCCCATGTCCCCTGTCTGATGTTGCAGCTGGAATGGATGCAGATGTTTCTGCGATTGAATCTGAAGTTGCTGAAACTGCTGTGCAGTTAGGAGGGTATGCATAGCCTGATTGTTTGAGTAGTACTGTTGATTAGCTCCGAACGACGCATAGTTCATCATTGGTCCACCATTCGGCATAGGTTGGCCAGTCATTACTTTCAGGTGCTGGATTTCCTCTTTCAGTGCATCATTTAATGCTATCAAACGACAGGAACAAAGACAAATCAATTGCTAAGGAAACAGTGGAATTAGCTCAAACATATCTCTGACGTTTATAGTAGAACAGCAAGCATTTATATTCATAACTGATATGCATAGTCGAAAGTTGAAAAAACCTAGATCGAGATCCACTCAATAGCATAGGAATAATAAATGTCATTTATGTTCCGAACCACGTAATTAATTGCATACAGGAGTTTATAGTCTAGCCAAGAAAGAATAGTGTTGAACTCGTCCAGTGTTTTCAAAAAAATGTTTTGAAGAGGTGCACACCGTCTTGCAAATGAACCTGTTGCTCCATTGTTTGCAACCGCAGTTTCAACTCGCTATTCTCAGCAGTCATACCATTGGTGTCTCTCTGCTCATAATTATCAGATAAGAATCGGGTGAATAATTAAATATAAATAAATTAAAAGAACAAAAAAGAATAAAATAAAATGAAAACAAAAGGACATGAAGGCCTGTCATATTTCACAACATTTAGAACGCACACAAGGAGACAGTTACCTGGAACAGAGCCAGCTGGGCAGAGAGTGATGTTGCTTCTGTTTGCAACGTCTGTACTTTCCGTTCAAGCTCAGCTATATATCGCATCTTTCTTTCCTTTGACCTAGCAGCAGACTGCCGATTTGCCCAGATTCTGTTATAAAGAAAAGAAAAGATAAGGTGGCGTCAAAATCTAAAAATATGTTAGGGCAACAATATTCATCTCTATTCTGGGAAAGATGAAAATCCAAACTCCAAAGAAGATCCTCTTGATGGGAAGAAAAGGGGACGGAGGAGAATTATCGAGACGCAAACACAGATGGACAGAAAACTAACTATAGCTTCGGCAATTGCCCTAGTTCCAAACTAGCTTCAAATTAAAACCAAGTTACATGATCTCTCAGTGAACATATCTTTATGGAACTGACCTCAACCTGCAGAAAAAGGCTTAAAGGTGGGATCCAAACTAGGACAGAAATAACATCATCACACAAAGCATATTGCAAAAGGCTTAATGCTGGGATTTAAGCTAGGAGAGAAAATAACATAGCGCGGGGCACGTTATGAAGATTTAATGCTTTGGGGTTTGAGCTAAAAACTAACATCTCGTGGAGTGCGTTGCGAAGACTTACTGCTTTGGGGTTTGAGTTAAAAAACTAACATCTCGTGGAGAGCGCTGCAAAGGCTTAATGCTCTGGGGTTTGAGCTTAAAACATCACGTGGGTGCGTTGTGAAGGTTATGCTGGGACTTGAGCTAAGAAAAATTAACACCACCACCAGGAGCAAGTTGCAAAAGGCTTACCGTTGGGATATAAGTTAAGAACAAATTAACAACATCACTCAATGCATTGCGAAATGCTTGATGCTGGGGATTAAGCAAAGAAAAAAACTACCGTCGGGAGCGGACACATTAGATAGGAAAGCCTCTTAATGCTGGGATTTAAGCTAAGAGAAAAACTAACATATCAGGAATAACGATGTGTGATTGACTCTTTCAATAACAAGTAGCACATCACTATAATTCTATCTTCAACCATGAGTTAGATAACACTTCATTCTAAAACATAATCACCAAGCTCGTAAAACGGAATTCTGTAGTCTTTAAAACAATTATCATAGTAAAAAAAAAAAAAAAAACAAAGATCACAATCCCTGCCTATTTATTGCCAAAAACCACAAACCTTCATTCTAAAGCATGAATTTTTTAACTAAATTCATAATTAAATACGCTGAAAATAAATCCAATTCAATCAATTGAGCTCATACAAGAATTTCAAGTCAAAAGAAGTAAAAAAAGGATACCTCTTAGCACGCTTGGGATCAATAAGGGCAAGCTCAGCAAGCTTAGTAGCTGACATAGCTTTCTTAGAATCAGCAGGAGAAACTTCTTCCGAACAGGACATCAGCATTTCCGGCTTAATACTGGTCGACCCATCCATCGACTGGCTATGCTGGTGCCTAACTCTAGGCTTCTCGGAAAACCCAACGGTAACACTCGCGTTTTCACCATTCATCCCCGTCCCAGCTCGAGAAGCTACCGGAGCAGTAGCCGGAGCACCGGTGGCAGACGACGACTCACCGACCTGAAAAGTCGAGGTTGCAGAAGAAGAATTGAACTTATCCATATCGAGAAACATAGAGAACAAATCCTCTTCCGTGTCGTCGGAATAAGACGGCCCATCGCCCGCCCCAACAACTCCGAGATCACTATCGAAGCTAATATCATCGGGAAGAGTAAGGATTTCGGAATGTGCACGACGGTGACCTAAGGTCTTGGGCGGATTATCAGGCATTTTGCTAATATCGTGACTGAAACGATTCGAATCCGAACTTTGACCGAATGAGTTCAAAGCATTTCCGGCAGACAAAAACCCCGAATACCGACCGGACGGCGGCAAGCCTGGAGATTTATCTTTGTCCATTCTAGCAAAAAATAAAAGAAAAAGAGAGCTCCAAAATTTTGAAGTTAAACCCAAGCAGGAATCAAAATCCTAAGCAGAGCAAAGATCTGCAAACTTGAAATGGCGTATTAAAAACAAACAGGAAACGATAAGTTACAAAGAAATTCAGCAAAGAAAAAAAACTGAGACTTGGTGACGAAAAATGAAGACAACAGCAGTAGTCAAAGAAGATATTCCCGAGAAAATGATGGGTTTTTTTAGGGAAAGAAAATCAAATCATTTCATGAAAGGAAGGAAATAAGAGGGAATTGATTACAGGGTGTTGTGTAGATAAATTGGAGAACATGAGATCTGAAGACATTACATTCTTCTTCTGTCATCTTATTTTAGTGTGTTTCTAAAATTTAGTTTAAACTAACAATATCTTTTTGTTTTCTAATTATATTACATTATTTGTCTTTCGATCGATATTAATATAACAATTGATGTGGTTAACACGATGATCTATTATGATTATATAATAATTTATAATATTAATATAATAATTTATATATGAATGGGAACATAATAATTCACAAAAATATTAAATTAATTCATCTCCCTTTCCAACCATTATTGATTTGAATTTATGTTACAGATAAAATGATTTTAGTTAATATTAGAAAACATAGTAAGACATTTAAAATTTAGAGTAAACAACACATTTAATACGTAATCTATCCATTATTAAACTTTTAATTTTTTAAAACCACGTCTATCATTTAATTTTCATTTTATTTTAACATCCGTTTAATACTTAAATTATCAATTTTAATATGTTTTAGTACATAAACTTTTATTTTTTTGTAAACTATACCTAAAATTTAGTTGATATGTTTAGTATCTTTAAACCCGAATCGAATGATATGTTCAGGGTTAATATGTTTGTGTTAAGTTCGGATCAGCCAAAAACCCGACTCAACCCATAATCGTGACGCAGTAAATCCGACTCAACTTCTTTTGAATGGAAATTCTTAGTAATGATTATGGTATTGAGGAGATACAAACCATTCACTAATCACCATTCACCATAAACATACAAGAGCAATCTCACAATGTCATAAAGAGCACACACACACACTCATAAATATGTAACGATAACAGATAATGCATGTGAAAACAAAGCGGAAGTTTTTGTCAAAAAACATAATCCGGCTTCTGAAGTGGGAACCTTGCCACTTGAACTTCGAACGGACCGCCTTTCGGATCAGCCAACCTAGCCGCAACGGTAAAAGCTCCGTTAGAAGGTATTCATGTCACACACATATCTACGTCCTATATAAACACACTCGAGTCCGAGTAACATTGACGATAAACTACATTATAGCGGAGAACAAAGATTCACGACCTACGGAAACAATCTTGGTTTAATAAAAGAAACGAATTTTTCGTTGTTCCGTTTATCGGAAACTCGAGTTGTAATATCGGCAGTCGGAAGATGGAACTACATGTTGGAAGAAAATGTAATGCAGGTACCTTGAAATGATGCTATATAAAAAGATAGATATAAATTTTGTACCTCAACTTGGTTTTAATGTGCAATTCGGAGACTGAAAATTTTGTAGGTCTAAATTGGTACCCAAACTTCAGTTTTTTGTCCAAATCGGTACTCACGGTAGATAATTTATTCAAACCACAAAGACAAGTTCAGGTAACAAATTGAATATACCCATATCCAATATTCACTGTCTTCAAAGAGAACCAGTAACAAATTGAGCTTATCTGACTGAACAATTTTCTTATGAACCGGTAACATAAGAGTATATCCAAATAGGATAAAAGTTTTTGCACAATACCTGCCAGGGACAAATGTGAAAGACCCTTCAACAGAACCCGAATAACATGATAAAGGAGTACAGCTCTCGTAAACGAATTCATCTTCACCTGGATGCAACAGCGGGAACTGCAAGGGCAAGAGAATATGAGATTTATAAAGCATAAGTCGACCACTCAATGACTCGTGCTAATAACTTATGCAAAACTACTCGTCTCGTGATAGTCGACAGAAAAAGACAGCCCGGACATCAAATTTCCTTCTCTAATCGTTACCGCTCAAAGAAAAATATTCTTAACAAGTGAAAATTAAATTGCTGGGCACATTATCTATACTATGAAGAGTCGGACCAACATAGTTATCTATAGGCGAGAAACTGAACCCGAGAGAAATTGGTATGCCATTACCTTTCCAATCACAGCTTCTCCGTTAACATTGGATACAATATTTTCATTGGCACGAATAATCCAGTGCCTCCGACTCAGTTGGCAGGAGCCAAAGGTCATTCCATTAATGATGCACCCTTCGGGCAATAGCGACATGCGGATTGAATAAGCAAACGTGTACTTCTCGGCTTCACCTTTCAGGTCAGTAAATTCCGGAACAAAAACAGCTGAAGCACGAACCTGAAGATAATAAATAATCTTTGTTAGTACCATTATGTGAATAATAATGAAAAGCCAAATTTCGTAAGACTAGAGTGCAATGTCAAATACGAGTAAAAGCGCCTAAGATGTTAAAATCACTATGTAGTATCCAGCACAGAGAGAAAAATACAAGATAATAATCTAACTCAGCTAGCAACACACTCTGATTCTTCGAAAGAATCAGTGAAAAAGAATTAGAACAAACTAAGTATCAGAAGAAAGAAATCGATGCACAAGTACTTTGCAAGAAGAATATAAAAAAATACCTGCACACCATTTGTTACAGCGGTGGAACATAGGGGAGGAACCTCGGGAAAAAGATTGATACTTCGAACACCTCCTTCTTTGCGGACTTTAATTATTCTGTTCTCTAAACGGCGTCCGTGTTCCTCTAACCATAACAGCATGGCATCTTGCTGCTGATAATCACGCAAATTGTGCACAGAACGGATAAGTGCATTGGGGACACATTGAATCATTTCCCCATCTATAGGAAGGTTTCGAGTACCAACATAAAGTTGGCCATTAGTAGAGTTCAAGAAAAACAATTTCTCACTAACAGTGGAAGAAGCAGCCACGACGATGTACTTGGACCGGCTTGAAAAACCTAAGTGACGTATGAAGCCTCTTGTTTCAACAATAACCTGACTTATCGGCAACAAGAAAACATTAACCGAATTGTTATGGAAAGAGTAGCCACCTATAATTCCTAATGTGCTACCATGTGTTGTCCTCAAGTGCTCTTTGTCTCTCAGTTCTTGACCGTCATGAAAACGATATAGAAGTCGAGTGGGAAGCGGCAGTTTTACTTTCAAAAGTGTCTGCAATTGTTTGATATCGGATTCTGATGCACCCCTTCTAAGTGTAGCTTCAGCCTCAGGAAAATTAATTCTCAACCATTGCTTAAGCTTATCCCAACATCTTTTAACACGCATAACAAGCGGCCATGGATACATCGAGAAAGCCTCTCGCCATAACTGATAAGCCACCTGGTAAAAAATGAATAAACAAAGATAAAAGCATACTCAAGTTTATACACACTATAAATCCACAAATTCATACATACTAGTGTATTCAAATCTAGTGACACATTTTTGCTGAAATACAAAAAATGCCCTTGAACTTTACCATTTTATTCAAATAACCCCGTACTTCTTGTGCACCTAAATGCAGCCTTAACCGTCGTGTATTTACTTAAATAAGCCCTAATCTTTAATTTACACCTAAAATCCCTTATCATAAAAAAACTTCACTTGAAAAAAATGAGGGTTAAGTGTACCAATCAAAAGATAAAGCTTATTTAGGCAGAGAAAAAAGTATAAGGGCCTATCTAAGTAAAATAGTATAGCTCAGGGGCTATTTTAATATTTTAGCCAAATATTTTCATCTATGCTAAAAGTCATTTTGATCATTGTACTTTCAAAAGTTACAAAAATGGTCATCAAATTTTATGGAACATCACTAAATTTTATCAAAAATAAAATTTATGGAAAATTTGCAACTATTATGACATCTGAGTGATTGTTTTGTAACAGTTCATGTGACCATAATTCAGTGACCTCTAGCTAACCCTATGCTAAATTTTAACTTATTTTCTTCTAAATTCCAAAATTTGAGTCTTAGATCCCCATGAATGTGATTTGTTAGCAAAATGGTATTTTTACGGGGGAAATTTACTTTATATAATTGATTTTCCCCCAATTCAATAAGAACAGCCACACGATCAAGTAAATCAACACGAACATTCATAGATCAGGAAAATCAAATCACCTTAAACGAAGGGAGAGCGTTTCCGTGATGATCTTGAGGGGATGAAAGATGAAGCTCTTGGGAACAAAATTGAGCCCAAAGCGAATCTTCAGAAGCTGAAACTCTGAGCCTTTTGCTAACACATGAAACTCTAGCAGTATCTGGAGGAGTTAGTTTTGATAAAATCGTGTGGAGAGCTAAACCTCCCAAACCATCTAATCCCAGCTCCTTCTCCATTGAAATCACAGTTCGAAACCCAAAACCCAGATTTTGAAAAACAAAGAAAATCAAAGGTCAGAGCTTCGTAGCGCTAAATCGAGACATGGATGAGTCGCTGCCTGGTGTTCTGGGAGAAGAGGGGTGCTTTGTTTTGGGGTTTGGGGTTTCGAGTTTTCTTCGAGTGTTTGGGTGAAGGGACGGGAGAAGCTATCTCTGTTGTGCCTTTTGCTCTCAATCGCAGTTGTGGAGTCTTATTCTGATGTTCGACACGTCGCGATGATTTTGTACATGTATGGTTTCCAGATTTCTCATTAAAAAAATTTGGATAACTTAGTAATTAAACTATTATTCTTATTTTATTTTAATTTTTTAATTATTATTTTTTATATTATTTTAATTATACGTTGTTTACATATTAATAGAACTATTAACATAATACATTTTAAAAATTCAAAAATATATAATGACACATTAATATCATAATTAAATTTTAACGAGAGATTATCAAGATAAAAGTAAAAGTCAAAATATTAAAACTTCTTCTTCAAATAATGACTATTTTTTATTTATCGTTTTATTTATTTATTGATTTTGTCATTTACAATCCATGCAAATACTCCATACAAGCTTCAGTAACTCATAAGCTTGTCGATGGATCAAGTCAAAGGTTTACAAAAGAAAGAGATGCGGATAAGGAAAAAGAGGAACTCGCAAAAAAAAGGAAAACCACTCTTCCTTAACATGTTGGTGCTTGAAAGGAACGAGATGAGTCTTTTGATAGCTTGAATCTAGTGCTGTCGAGCGGAGGATTGCTTGCATTTGCTAATATCCCAGGCCACATAGTGTAGCCACAGCGAATGACAAATGTGAAAGAAGCACCCAATACACGAAAACACAACAAAAAAATCAGATACTTAGTGTAAATATTGAAAGCAGGGTTTAAATCGCGGTCGCGTTTTCGGTTATTTCGGATTTATCGTGATTGTGGCCGTCGCGGTAACTCGAACATCGACGAAACCGCTATATCGCGGCTGAAATCACGATCGCGGACCAGTTTTTAAAAACCTGATTGATAGTTATGAGATAAAAAATGTAAAAGTAAAAGAAACTTAGAAAAAGAGGGAGTTGGGTTTAACCTTTTGAGTTTACTGGTGAGCAGTGAGATAGAGAATAAGAGTTGAGGAGGTAATGAAGATTCATGAGGTGTTTCTTCCTATAATTCCCTTGAAATTTCTATTTATTTAGCTTAGGTACAAGCCTCTAAGATTTGCAGAGCAAATTGGTGGAGTAATGGCGTAATAATTAATATGCGTCTCAGACTCTGCGAGAGAAGAGTAGAAGGGAGTTAAGAAGAGTATGGATATGAAGAGGGTGAAAGGTGGATGCTGCGTCGGACGACGACTTATTTTGGAAAGCTGCTTAATATTTTGTGTGAGAGAAGAAGAAGACGAAACAAGGAAGAAGGAAGGGAGGAAGAAGAAGAAGCTATCGCGTCAGAAAGTTAAGGGAGGTAACTGTCAGTTAGATAAAATTAACTGGAGGTAACAACGGAATCTTACTGAAAATAACTAAAAATTTAATGACTGTATTACAAATTTAAAAGTTGGTTGATCTAAATACAAACATTTTAAAAGTTAGGAACTATTGATATTCTTAACCCTTTAAATTATGTTATGATTTCATTTTAATTACATGTTGTTAATAAATTAATAAAACTATTGACATAATACTTTTAAAAAATTCAATGATAATTTGACATTATATTATTATAACATATTAATAATACAGTTAAATTTTAATGAAAAATAATCAAAACACGTCGTTAAATATAAGCTTAAAACAAAAATAATAATTGAGGTATTAAAACTATAGTTTACCCAACAAAAATATAGGCAAAGTTTGTCGGTTGACAATTTTTTAATATTTCTTCATGTTTTCCACCTACAACATTATTATTAATCAACATTTATGGTAGCGCTTAACCGACTTTGTTAAGTATCTTAATAAATTTCCGATCACGCCGTTTCTTAGTCGTATATTAGTCCATCTTTCTTTAGACAAACTCAATTCTCATATTTCTTTTTGTCATCCAACTATTAAAATTTTACTTTTAATCATTATCGTTACATTTTTAGCCCTATAAAACACTTATTTAAATTCAATTTATATTTTTAACAATAAATTTATTATTTTTCAATATATTCTATAAGTTTTATATTTTATTCAATTTAGTTCTTCAACTGTATTTTGCTGTAAATTATTCTTTCACTCCTTCATTCTTTCCTCAATACTTTGTCCTCGAAAAACTCTTCTTTAAAAATATCATTATAAATATATTTTATAATTTTAAATGACATTTAATTTATTAAATAACAATACATAAAAAATAATGAAGTATATGTATATCTTATATAATTAAAAATGTTCATCTAAACTATGATCAATTTGCATTATAGTATTATAAATAATTATAATTAATTAGAAATAAACTTGAACCTCAACACGGAAAAAAAGAGAATGTTGTTGATGTTGTGAATACTCTAGACTTGGAATCCTCGTTTTATATTAAATTACATATTTTAGATATAAATGATAGATAGGCTAATTATCAATTTTGATCTATCTTGATATCTAAAATTTAATTTTTTTTTTAAATCATACCTAAAATTTAATTTTTGGTTTATTAAAATACCCCATTCAAAACTTAACTTTAAATTAAAAAAAAAGTAAAAGTTTAAATACTAAAACAGACCGAAACTGATAGCTTAGGTATTAAATGCATCAAGTTTTTAATGGCATGATACTAAAATGAAACAAAAACTAAATATTAGTAATGATTTTGAAAAAATTGAAAATTTAAATATTAAAACAGATAAAAAGTGATAGTTTATGTACTAAATGCGTAGTTTACCCTAATAGATATAGAAAAACGATCTAAAGATAACGAAAATCTCTGGAAACAATATGAACACCCATATTCGACACTCACCGTCAAATCCGGTAACATATGTACCTTATATACCCTATATACATTGATATACGTTTCAAAGGAGCAGAGTTCAAGGCGTTCAATTTCTGTAGTTTGATCATTGATGCTAGTCTAAACGCAATACAACCGATCAGTAAGGAAACTAAAATGCTACAAGAGCTTGATCCGGTGATTACCGTGCCTTTACGACGACCGAACTTTTTCTTGAAGCAAAACGTTGATGTTTCGAATAAATGCCGTGAGCGAATCAGGGAGGATCCTCATTATCGATCCTTTTGATTCTGCGATGCAAAACAACGGAACCGCCCCTAATCCTTCGATCACTGATTCATATTGTTCGTAAACAAAGAATGCAGTGAAGGCAAAAACCAGAACTGCATTGCGGATTACATCCGAAGTCAATACCACATGATAAATCAAAATAACTTCAGATTTATAGTGAAAGTAGATCCGTTACTTACCAAAGCCAACGAGTACGGCCAATGAATAAGAGACAATCCACTTGAACAAATACAGAAAAATCACAACCTGGATAAACTACATGCAGGTTAGAAGTTAAAGAACAAGAAGAAAAGCTTACTTATAGAACTTGCTATCATGGTAATAATCCAGCTTGTACGGACTTGGGTATAGTTTTTACGGATAGAACCAAAAAAAAAAATCGGGGGTTATGGCAGATTTTGTAAAAGAAAAGTGATGTACAAGAATGGACCGACCCGGATACAAAAAATGAGGGTTTCAGGGGGACTTACATATAATGTGAAGTTCTAGGTCGGACTGTTGGAGCTTTCGAGTTTTACATTTTAAAATGGTAACTATAAAAATGCATGAAATCATAAACACAATATTTCCATGGAAATACAAACCTTGAAAAACCTGCTCCAATCGTCTCCCTTGGCCAACAATTTGATGCTATGAACTATTCTATTCCACATATAAGATACGTATCTGACTGAATTTTTCACATCCGAGTCTTGTATTTCAAAACAAGATGATGGTATCTTTTGAACAGAGAAACCGGATCTGCCGCATAGGAAACCATAATTAAGACAAAGATATAAGCAAACGTGCATGTGTGTCTATGCATTATTATTCAAAAATATATGTTAATAATATGGGATTCATCGGGTTACTGAATGAAAAAAATTGAACTGCGGGTTTATAAGTTAATAGTCGGAATATAAATACTTCAGAGAAAAAATAAAAACAGTGATCAAACCACAGTTCCCTTTCATTATGACATTTCCCAAGGTGGGTATATGCAAACAAGGGAATGGAAAGAGGATCTCAATCGAAAGAGTTCGGCATCGAGCATGAACAGTGAAAATCAAAAACTGAAAGAGAAGGGTGTAATGGGGACCAAAGAACTGGTTCATGTTCCGGATAGAATCAATCAATGCGTAAAAATGGGGAACTCCATCAAAGTGATCCAATGAAATGCCATAAAACAACCAATGGATATAACTATAAATACTCACGTCGCTGACGTTAAAATGCCATGTCCATAAAGCATGGTTGTAACTAGCAGCAGAAGCTGGGCTGCAGATGAGATAAAAGTTCTTCCACAGAAAAAGAACCAATAAAGTACCATAGCCAGAGTAAGGAAGCAGGAAAATGTTTTCCTTTCATCTCTCCACAGCAAGATATCTGAAACTGAATCGAAGTAATTCAAGGTCACTATATGGAGAAAATTGCATTATCAAGCCTCGGTTTATTTACAGGAGTCTAGATACAAGTGGGCTTAAGTTAGGCTTAAAGAAGAAGTCAAATGAAGCCTGTTGGCTAAAATTACAAACCCAAAAACCTTCGAATATTTCAAAAAAGAAAGAATAAAATTTTAACTAGTATTCCTATGGTACAATGAGGGATTTAAATAGCAGTCCGCTATCGGAATTGAAGATACTAAATTTTATCCATTTATTATTATTATTATTATTATTATTATTATTATTATTATTATTATTATTATTATTATTATTATTATTATTATTATTATTATTATTATTATTATTATTATTATTATTATTATTATTATTATTATTATTATTATTATTATTATTATTATTATTATTATTATTATTATTATTATTATTATTATTATTATTATTATATTATTATTTTATTATTATTATTATTATTATTTATTATTATTATTATTATTATTATTATTATTATTATTATTATTATTATTATTATTATTATTATTATTATTATTATTATTATTATTATTATTATTATTATTATTATTATATTATTATCATTATTATCATTATTATCATTATTATCATTATTATCATTATTATCATTATTATCATTATTATCATTATTATCATTATTATCATTATTATCATTATTATCATTATTATCATTATTATCATTATTATCATTATTATCATTATTATCATTATTATATTATTATTATTATTATTATTATTATTATATTATTATTATATTTTATTAATATTATTATTATTTTTATTATTAAATATATTAAATACAAACCAGTTACAATTAAACCGGCTCAGTTACAAACCAACTGAAACCGGTCCAAATCCAACCGGAAACCCTAAATATTTGGGTTTCCAGTTAGGGTTCCCTAACCCTAATCTAGCCAGCCGCCAGCCGCCATCTTCAATCTCAACCGTTGGATCTGGTTTGATCCAACGGTCCATCATTTGCCAGAGGAAACCCTAGGGTATCTATACCCTAGGGACACGTCCACCGCCGCCGCTGCTGCTTCCAGAAGCCCTCACCGCCTCCGCCGCTGCCACGTCCCGAATGATGCTTCCAGAAGATCAACGCCGGCCGTCCACGCTAAGGCTACGGGGTGAGTCACCACTGGTAGTCCGGTGACTCACCGAAGCCCCCTCTTCGGACCAGTCCGATGACCGCACCGGTGGTGGCTATAAAAGCCACCACCCACCTGCGAAACAAAAAAAAAGGAAAAACCGAGACAGCCAACAACAGAAAAAAAAACAGAGGATACAACAAACAACGAATAGCAACCACAGCAGTAAACCAAAGGAAAAGAGAAGAAGAAGACTTACCCTTGAAGCCTTTGTAGCCCTCGGAAGCCAACGTTGCCAAACCGCCGTTTAAGAAGGTAGAACCCTTCGGTTTTGTTTAGATTTACTCCGATTAGGAGTCTTTTAGAGAAAACAAAGACCGGAATCGGTCTTAGGGCATTTAGATCTACAATTTGGGGTGTTTTTGGTGAATTCCGACCACCGTTACGGTGGCCGGCGGCGGTGGCCGGCGGCGGAGTACGGTGGCCTAAGGCTGCCGGTTTCCCTCCGGTGAGGGAAACCTAGAGAGAAGGCAGAGAGTTTGAAACTCTCTCGGTTTAGAGAGAGAGAAGGAAATGAGGAATGAAATGGTTGGCCCTTCGGGCCAGCCGATATTGGACATTTATAGTCCTTCCCGAACGACGTCGTTTCGGGAAGGACTATGCGCGTAATTACAAAATAGTTAAATCCCTTCCGCAGTCCTTAGTATTTGTAAACTTTACATTTTAGTCACTAAATTGAATTTTTAATATTTTTTAGTTCAGTCTTCGAATTTTAAATTTATTCATTTTAGTCCTTTTTATTAAAAATATATTTAGGATAAATAACAGATTTAATCCTTAAAATTTTAATAAATAATATTTTAATCCCTAGCTTATATTTTTAATTTATTTGAATCTAATATCCGAATTTTAGATAATTTTATTTTAATCACTAAATAAATAAAAAAAAAATAATAATATTTAATCCCTATAGTTTTGATTAGTTATGAATTAGATTTTTTAATTTTATTTTATTGCAATTTAGTCATTTATTTTATATGTTTTAATTTATTTTATTGTTTTTAAATATATTGTTTTAATAGAATTATTCTTTTATTATATTGTTAAATATTTTGATATATATTCATAAATATATATAATATTAACTTTTAAATATTTATTTTTAATATCGAAGAAAAGGACAGTCTTAATACAACTGGATGTCCTATTCTGATATTTTAAAATTAAACAATATTATTTAAATTAATATTTATCAATATCAAAGAAAAAGAGCTGTCTTAAAGTACCTAGAAGTTCTTTTCTGATATTTTTAAATAAAAAATATTTTATAATTTTGAAATAATAGAATTATAAATTAAATATATTTTTGAATTTTTAAATTTTTAATACTAGAGACAATTTATAATTAAAAAGTACCAATTTTGGGCGTTGTAGGGGTGCTAATCCTTCCCTAAACGTAACCGACCACGAACCCCTTTTTATTATTAAAAAGAACAAATTTTTGGTTATAAAACGCAGATCAGTTCATTTTTTAATTGATGTTTTCTTAAAACTCTTTTAAAAAATAATTTTTAGGTATTTGACCTACCTGATCCAAAAGGTCGATGGCGACTCACAAATTATTTTCAAAATTATTTATTAACATTAATTTCCCCACCAAAATTTAATATTTCGTGCCCGGACGAAAAACGGTCACGACAGCTTGGCGACTCCGCTGGGGACCTGGTCAAACTTTTAAAAATTAATTATAAATTGTCTCTATTAGTTAAAAATTAAAAATTTATATATTTAATTTTTAATTCTTTCTTTTCAAATTTTTTTATTTTTATTTTATAATATTTATATGTTTTATTTGCAAGTATTTTATTTCAGTATTTATTTTTATGTCAAAAGTTTAACATTTCTCCTCACACACAACACTTGCATTGCATTACATAAAGCTCTATAATTGAGTTGTCCCTTTTAAGTGAAAGTGAAAGCAACGTCTTCGTGAGAATTTATTCTCCGTGTCAGACCTAGCAAGTAACTTTCGGGGTTCATATGCTCTCTGTCTTCGTGAGAATTTATTCTCCGTGTCAGGCATAGAGAAATGTATCCCCTCGAATTGAACTCGATCCACTTTAGTCTGTAATGGACTAGGATTGAGGGTTAGCAACCCAAGGGGGCACTAACAAGGACAATTCGGGTACCTTTACTCCTAGTTCTGAAACCCTGCATATAAAAAACCTTAGAAACTCTTCCAATCAGAAGTCATGCCGAAATTTTGTCCAAAATAGGTGTACACACAGGAGAAATGAATTATGTCTTTCCTGTTAATTTATTTTACATGTTTATTTAAATTATTTAGAAAAGCATGTTTAAATTAAATAAATGTTATTATCCTTTAAACTAACTTATTTTCTTTTTGTGTGTTCTTTATTTTTCTGTTTGCATAGCATCATACAGGATAAAAGACATTGATCCTTGTGTTAATAGTCTCATTGGAAAACCTTCATCCATGGATAAAAAGGGTTCAAGTCAAGTAATTCTAAACTCAGAAGTAAGACAGTGGGCTGAAGATTTACAAAGACAAGAAGGAGATAGTCTGCCAGATGATTATGTATCTGACTTGGCCAGTTATGCTCCAGTTTCATTAAAAAGAAATGATATGCAAGATTTGCGAAGCATTTGGGAAAGTTGGGATTCAAACAAAAAATTGCAGTTTTATCAGACTTACGGAGATATCCCATATCTGCTCTATGTAGAAGTTGATGATGAATTACTCCGAGCCCTAGTTCAATTCTGGAATCCAGGGTACAATTGCTTCACTTTCAATAAGGAGGACTTGGTCCCTACTATTGAAGAATACACAACTTTGTTACATATCGAAGGGGCTTTGGAGAATCGAATCTATTCAAAGTCAATTAAAATTCAACCCTTCCGAGTTAAATTAGCAAAGATTGCTGGGGTACGAGAAGAATGGGTAGCGGCCCGTACAAAACAAAAAGGCGAAAGCGAAGGCATTGCTTGGACCAACATTAGAGAACTTATTCAGAGCCATCCAGATATTAAAGTACGATTCGATTTATTTGCTATGGGTATATATGGTATGGTCATCTTCCCAAAAGTATTGGGATATATTGAAGCTGCAGTGGTAGACTTGTTTGAACAGTTATCGAAGAAGATTAATCCTGTTTCTGCCATCCTAGCAGAGACCTTCAGATCGTTAAATGCTTGCAGAAGGCTAGGAGGTGGACGATTCTCAGGGTGTACCCAGTTGTTATATGTTTGGATCCGTAGTCATTTCTGGAGAACGGAAAAGGTTTCATACCGACGCTTCAATACGGATTACTCCCCATTAAAAGAATTTCTAGAGCAGGAATGGCCGAAAGAAATTAAGAAGGATATGTGGATTAATGCCTTTAGAAATCTACAAAGCAATGACATTGTTTGGCGAGCCCCGTGGCAAATACAAAGGGAATTCCTTTACAGGTGTGGTGATTACAACTGGATAATGCTGCTCGGATTATGGGGAGGAATTGGATATGCACCACTGCTGGTTATAAGGCAGTATGAAGGTCGTCAATTTGTACCTGTCACTGCTGGACTACAGTCATCTGAGTTTGCATTCCACAGCAAAAATTATAAAAGAAACATCATGGAAGCCGTTACAGCTTGGAAAACAACTTTTTGTATCCGAGCTAAAGCAGCAAAAGAAATGCTAACTCCTGATTATGAAGAATGGAGATTTGTCAGGAAAAATGAAAATATTCCTCTACCAGATCAAAATGAGGATATTTCTATGGATGATCGCATCAAGGTGGTTCCATCAGAGATTGAAATCCTGAGAGCTGAGTTTGAAGCAGAAAGAGATGGATGGTCGAAA